AAGTACCCTTAGCCGACGAGCATGTATGCGTAGATATATGGATGTAAAGGAGGCGAAAGAGGTATGTCAGGATCGTGCCAAATGGAAGTCCGTAGTCTCTGCCTACCCCTCTGGGTGATAAGCGTGAGTGTTTACGTTTTTCTTGTTCTAAACCATCATTAAAAATAATAGTCATGATGAAATAATTAGGTTTGTCCACTTCAGCATTATTCTTACTACATATTTAAAATCGAATATGACCTCATTCATTAGGTATAGTAGGTTTTTTAAATTATACTTTTAGGGAATAACAATAAAGGAACGGTGATTGACTATTTTTATTATAGTTTCTATTTGCACTTTATATAGGTCAGGTAGGTAGGTCAACAAGAGAATCACGCTTTTACAGAATACTAGCGTAAAATAGCTGCTTAATACTGCTGTTTTTCGTATGGTGAGTGTTTTTCCATCTTAATCATCGGAGATGGCAACGCATCTGCATTTTGATGCTTAATTGAAGATAAATGTAGATATCTATTGGATACGGCATCCACTTACCATCAGGTGGACTGTGTGCTCGTTTGTCACCCTTATTCTATAAAAAAATATCAGGGACTTATTTTACCGGTACTGAAACATTGCATCTTAGTTCTCAGAGGTGAAAACTCAACTTTTATTCTTAATCGTAGTAAGTGTCTCGACCCACAGAGTCCACGTATCGTCAGGTTTACTCTGTGTTCATTTATTACACTTTTTTTTAAATAAAGCGACCAACGAACTTACTGTAAAGCTGATGATAAATGTCTTTCGCAGTCCATAAACATTTGCAGCCAACTGCAATCAAGGAAGACTACACATGCATTATCAACTCTGAGGACTTACACGGACTGCCTTAGCTTGTTATTATACCGGCTCTTCACACCTTTGTTTTTTTTTACAATGGAATGCAGCATCGCAGACACTGGTACTGGTAGTGGCGGCAATAGTTAAGGGATGGACCTACCCAGGCGGAGTCCTGAGCGAAAAAGAAATCCTACCACATATTAAAATACTTCTTCATTTTCGTCATCAACCCGTAAAGATTATAAGCTAGAAATGGACCTCTTTTTAAAAGATTATTTTTAATGGGTGACAAGCGCGCAATAACTTAATATATCTTTTGTCGAATATGCACATGTGTTGCCCTGTGAACTAATATTTAATGCCTGCTGTTAAATGGGTGTCCGGTTTCAGTCACTTACCATAAGGAACACAACGTGTTATACTGCTATTTCATGTCAAATCCTTCCCGAGTTGAGCTTACGCGTTCGTGCAGAAGCCATAATATGGTGAAGTATAGCTCCAACACGTAGGAAACCGCTTATCCCGTTGCAGGTAGGGTTAGCACTAACTTGTATAAAAATTGCGTAGCTAATTCATCTCTCAGTTACCATGGCCGTCCCAATATTTTACTTTCAATTTAATATTGACTGAACTTTTTACTACAAACGATGGAATCGTAACTCAGCCTCTGTTACATGATCGAACAATGATTTTAACGTTTTCGTGACTACGATTGTGAAAAATCATGTTTTAAGTAATCATTTATTCCCATTATATTTCACGATATCATTATAAAGCTTGTATTGGCTAAGAGAAAATTGCAAGAGTAGCTGTATCGAAAGATTTAAGAAAATATAATCAAATTATGTTCCTTTTTAACCGAGAAGGTTCTATATTCGACGCGTATGTTTTTAATTTTTGTTTATAGATTTATTAAAAATGGCTGAACCGATTTAAATGCATATTTTTATTTATTAGGATATTCTTTAGTAGTAAAGTAAAAGAATAAAGCACAGCGTATGTGCGAATTCAAAACTAAAACAATAAAATGATTTCTACATTTCGCAGAGTTGATTGCAGAGTATAAATAGGAGAGTCGATAAATTCGAAGTCGGCTTGTACTTTTTATATACATAATAACGTAACTTCATGCCTGTTATCCCCGAGTCAAAGTCCGAAGGGCCGCAAACTACTAGACCACATTTAGCCAAAGAAATATTAGTTTAGTACATCGCATACAAAATTACTAACCTAAGTACCTATTAACCATTATTAGCATTTTACGACATGCTAGATTACGCAGTTAGCACATCCCTTTTTGTAATGAAATCTCACAATAAACATGAAATTTGGACACCTATAAGTTCTAGACCGACTCAGAATGTTAAAAGTTTAATTTTTTTTTACATTTATCGTACCTTTAGACGTCTCCATCTTTAAAAAGAAATATTGTAAAGTAAAGTAAAGTAAAAGACTACGTTATATTATGTCCTTCTGTTGGGCAAAGGCCTCCTTAATTTTGAAGAGGGCGTGGGTGTCTGTCAGGATGGAACCGATAGCGTTGTCTGACTGCGCTCCTGACTTTACTTCACTTCATTCGAAATATTTAAAATTTCTTAAGCATGGTTTCCCTCAAGAGCGAAACATAAAATAGCTTTCAGTTTTACAAAAAAAAAATCAGTTTCTTTATTTTGCCGTGTGATGATGATAGATCTATATACACCATATATACATAATACCATGACGTCAATCCTGTAAAAATATTACTAAAATAAGTAGTAAGAAAATTACTAAAATAGCGATAGGTGGTAAAGCAGTGGGAATGCTGGCAGTCGGAAGTAGCCCATTTCATCACTCTGTTTCGTGTGGAATGAGTCGGCTTTTAAGGTGATTTCCATTGTTCCATAAATATTATGTTCACAGAAGAAAATTATGTAAAAAGTTTAAAGAATTAAATCATAATGGTATATACTCGTAATAAGCTACTTAATAATCTTGGTGATGAGAAAACTTTCAAACGATGAGAGAATTATATTTCAGCGGTGGCTTGTTATGGGGAATGTCGAATGAAGTCACAGTATTTATGAATGGTCATAAATTTAAACGGGATAACAGTATGATATATTCTTTTACTAATACAAAGTGAAAAATTTTATTCCATATACATTGAGACCACCCATTTTAACATCTATTATTACATTGCTCCTAGGTATAAAACATTATTTCTATGTTCGATATTTCTCTTAACCGACAAACATCAGTTAAAAGTGATGAGTTTATGGTTTAAAATGTTTCAGGTTGCTGTTTAGATTATTTTACCAGTTATGTAATGTTTTTAAATAGTTAAAAATTATGCTATAAAATTAATACTACTAGTCACCGCTTAAAAGGGACAGTCCTTGATCTAATTGTGACGGAAAACAATTCGATTGCTTATCGATTGAGTATTTATATCGGAGTATAATAAATTATGCGAAATCGTTTGGCGGCCCTGTTCCGTGCTTTGTTACCTGGCCCTGTTTATTTGTTACATTATTGTATCATTTGGCATTTGTTCCGGTACTTGTAACACACCTTTGACATATTGTAGTAACGAAACTCATTTGTTTTACACTATCAAATCATCTCGTATTCATATTTCAACAAGGTGATAAATAATGATTTTTTCTAACAACGTTTATAATTGTCCGTTATCTTCATTATTGCTAAGAAGGTCTTATATGGGTGGATGCAAAAGTGAAAGGGAATTTATCAATTTATTATTGTAGGTCATACTTGTTCCGTTCGGGAATCAAACCCGCGGCCCTCAGCACTACAACTCAAAAACTACACGAAGCCGTCGAACGTCGTCGGTTTCAGGTTAACGTAAAATCAGTACTAGGGATTTCATCCACTAACAATTTTTTGTGAAACGACAAAAGTTGTGTACTGTTTTAGAAATAAGAATTTATATAAGTATCTTTTTAGTCCAAAGTATTTTTTCTAGGCATTAACATCACCATAACACCATTTTCATATCACCCATTAACTACATTACAATTAGCCAGACAATTTCACGTTATAACCGAATCTATTTTTCTATTTAGAAACACGAAACATTATTAAAATATGAAATATTGATTAATATTTTGATTACCTCTTTGGTCTGCTGGTCTTAAGCATGACTGGTGATCATGAGACCCGGATTTGAATCCTGGGTAGGGCCAAAAAGTGCCAAGTAATTGCGTTTTTTATCAAAAAAATCTCAGTCATAAGTTGCCTATGTTTTACTTCCGTGCCTCGAAAAGCACGCGCCGTAAAGCCGTTGATTCTACGCATGTACTCTCTTAGGTGGTGTCGGATTACCCACCCATCACACTATGAGGAATGCGTGGGTAATCCGACACGACCTAACAGAGCGAGGAAATAGTGAGTGCATCTGTGTTTGCGTACATACTCGTGCACTATAAATTCCCATCTTGAACAGATCGCTAGTCATCGTTGATCGTCAAACGTTATTTTTTTTTAACAACACATTCTTTGATGAAACAGAAGAAAAATATTGACGTTTGAAGTTTGACGGCTTTGATTCTTTGAAACATTATTTATTATTTTCCTGAGATTTATTTTAAGTAACTATTAACTATCATATCTTAAAAGATCAAAGTTTTTATTAGACTATAAAATCATAAACTTTTGTGTACATATATTGCTTGGCGATGATGATGATATTGCTTGGTATGCGGTAAGGGGAAAAATAGCTAGTCGGGGATCTACATACACTGAACGGTAAGCGATATTGTACTGTTTCCACAAACACTTCCAGTACAGCTTGACCTTCGCGACATATCAGACTGCACACTGGTTTGGTATTTGTCTGGTACCATTCAAGAAGAATCATGCCTATCAATCACTTTCCCTCTGCCTCCTCTCTGCACCTCTCTAATGTGATATCTGTCGCCTCGACTGACGATTCTTTATCTGATGCTACACCCATACAATTCGCTTCGCATCAATTTATGCCCGCTACACTTATGAAACTCAGTACCTGACCTATCATTTGAGTCGCATATTATATAAAAAAGAAGTTTGAAGAAGAAGATGCGATTTACACTGCAGAGCTTACCAGGGCGTTTATTGCTACATTTTCTAAGGACATGATGCTGAAAATGAATAGCATTATTAAACAAAATAAAGAGCTATAGAAGAGTTTCAAGGAAATGTCGGACAAGTGTGATGAATTTCTAAGTTATATATCTACACTTGAGGCTGGGAAGAAAGAGGATAAAAAGATGATTCATCAACTTGAGGACAAGATCGAATTCCTAGAGCGCGCCTCACGACCTACAGGGGTAGAAATCCGAAACGTCCCTAAAATGAAAGGTGAAACAAAAGATGACTTGTGCAGTTTAGTGACAAACCTGGTACAGAGCTTAAACCTGAATCAGAATGATTTGAAAAATTTACGCAGAATCAAAAGTAAACAAAACTCGTACCCAATTCTCCTTAATTTTAACTCTGTTTTACTAAAAGATTTTAATAAGACAAAGGATAAAGGTGTTAAAATCAATACTACTCACCTGAAGCCCAAACATTCTAAGCAACAAGTATACGTATCAGAATGCCTTACTTATAAAACATAACGATTATATGTATTTAGCAAGAACCCAATACAAAAGATGTGGCTACAATTTTTGCTAGATCTCATATGGTGTAGTTTATCTGCGCAAAAAAGTGGAGATACTTGAATTCGATTAACCTCAGAAGACGATATTGAAAAGCTTAGATGCGTAAACTCATCATGGCTAATATCAAGCATTGGTACCCACTGGTTTTGTCTTTTTGCTCTTTTTTCTATGAATATAAATATAAAATAAATGTTCTATTATATTATTCTTACAATACCGTAAACATATTTTTAATCACACATACATTAAAACAAATACCACTAAAACAAAATTCACCAGTAGACACAAAAAACAGTATATATCATAAACATATATGTTTCACCGATTCAAGATTCCTCAATATTATATATATATATATATATATATATTACATTAAACGGGGTCAAAAAGGTTTCAAATTCAATTTAGGATTACATATTAGTGGTAAGGATGGAAACATGTTGCAATTTTCTCCTCCAAAATATTAATGGGTTTTTGCTAGGCTTATATTTAAACCTGATATTACCATTCTAACAGGATGCTGGATGACTAAGGACAAACCACCACCAGCTATGGATAATTATCCATGTTCTTTCTATAAAAAGAACCTCAACCAAAATGATGGTATTGTCATATACGTAAAGCATGAAATAAAATATTTTTTATATTTATACATATTTATACGTGGTAGAGCCATGCTGCAGTTATATTAGTAGTATAGTTGTAGCGCGAATGGGTCGGCTCGACCGGGGAAGGACCACGCTCTCACAGAATACCAGTGTGAAATAGTAGCTTAATGCTGCTGTATTTCGTATGGTGAGTGTAGAGAACCGGAGACCCTTTTTACTGGAAACGAGGCATTCCATCTTAGTCCTCACGGGTGACAACGCATCTGCATTTTGATTCGTAATCGAGGATGGATGTGGATGTCTATGGGCCACAGCAACCACTTACCATCAGGTGGACTGTGTGCTCGTTTGTCACCCTATCCTATATAAAAAAAATATAAATGTTTGCAGATGTTAACATAGACATTAAACAAAATAGTACCGATAGAAAGAGGTAATCAAACTTCAATATTTTTGCCAAAATAGGACTTCTGCCAGCTCGTACGTTTCCGACTAGAATAAATAGTTGCTGGATCATGTAATGATCAAAACCCCGTTGTCAGCAATAATTAATGTAATAGAGTCAACGGTAACAGACCATGATTCAATTATCCTGTGTATATTCAGAAGCAATTAAAGCGCAATCAAATTATAAAAACTGCCTTTGCGGCGACTATTATACAACTAGAATCAACAGATTTCTTTTTTATCTGCCCCATAGCTGACGCAGAAGAGGCTGCAACTCTCTTTGTCGATTAAGTTATCAAGTGGAATAAATCTAATTCCACGAGTATTACCGTATCTGGGCGTAAAAAAATATTAAAGCCATAGATAACACCCGAATTACTCCGATGTATCCGCCACCGGGACAAATTACATAAAAATCTGAAGAAAGATCCAGATAACCAAATACTTGATATACCTTATAAACGTTATAGAAACTTCTGTAACCGGTTGCTGAGAAGAATAAAACAAGCTTATGAAAAATCATTATTAAAAACGCAAAAACGAATAAAGAAACGTGGTCCGCTATTAAATCCATTACGAGCTCTAATAAACAGAAAACCTCTGCAGGTAATCTGCTAAATTTTCAGGCTAACCCCTATGATGCTCTTGAGGATGTTAATAGATATTCTGCAAACGTTGGAAAACTACTAGCGGAAAATATTATTTCACAATCTAAGTACTTCCTCAGACAGCACAAATGATTATCCCGTAATAGAGATTCGATGGCTCTATTCCCACCAGATGAAAGCGAAACTGAGGCCATGATTAAGTTTTTATCAACTTAATTCATGATCAAGGCCTCAATTTAGTATATAATAAACATGTCATAGTCCCGGTCTTTACCATCATCGTTAAATTGTGTTTTGAGCAACGCATTTTCCCCAAGATTTTTAAAAGAGCTCTCATTACATCTGTCCACAAGAGTAGGACACGAGACAGTGTAACAAATTATAGACCAATTTATTTGTTATAAGTAATATCTAAAGCGTTAGAAATAATAACCAACTATTAAAATTATTGAAGCAACATAACATTCTCTTAGACTCCCAATTTGGTTTCAGAGCGAGTACAGACAGAGCCGTGAGTTCTTTGGTAGTCTGTTGCAGAAAGTCTCGATAGCAAACAAGAGTGTGTTGGAGTTTTTATTGATCTTGCCAAAGATTTTGACACTGTATCGATTTCTATTTGTTGTCAAGTTAGATAGATATGGCGTACGAGGGACGGTGCTTAAAATTTACAAGGATTTTCTGATGGGTTGTCAGCAACAAATTAAAATAAACAAATATATCAGCTCAGACGTAGCTGTTATCTATGGGGTCCCACACAGACAAGGCAGTGTGCTCGCTCCCAGCCTTTTTCTTACATACATAAACGGTCTGTGTCAAATGTCACTGCATGAAGGCAAGCAAAATTTTCACATATACAGATGACGACACAACTTTCGTATTTCGTGGGCAAACCTAGGTCGACTACATAGGGCTAACTTATTGCTTTAACATAATCTACTGACCATAAATGTATACAAAACCACATTCGTACAGTTTATTGATTCTCGAATAAAACAACAGAATGGATATTCGTATTCATACATGTAATTTTTTTATAAATCATCATTGTACATGTCAACCAATAAGTATGTTTTACCTATTACATGTTATACTTATTATTATACAATCAAGTAAGAAACTAACTTGGAAACCACATGTGGACATGATTGGGTCACGAGTCAGGCAATTAACATGGGTGTTCAAGAATCTCAGGCATATTGCCGACCTAGAAGAGAGAGCTCAACATTCTTGCCCAAAACAATGACCTTTAAGCCTTATAGATTCATCACCAATACCCTTCATAAGATGTGTCAAGTTCTCACAGTAAGGCAGTTATTTATATACCACATCATCACCAAACAAATCACTTAATAAATCACGTAACAAGTGTACAATTACTAATGTTATTGATCCCATAAGATGCCGTACTGCATAAGCAGGACGACAGAGAAGTTTTCTTTCTGAATACATTTATAATAAAGTTAATACAATTCTAAATTTAAATCCACTATCACTTCACGAATGTCAAACTAAAATAAGGAACTGGCTAATTACATTAGGCTTTTTGTCTGATTTTCTGCTAATCTCCGAAATGGCTGAACCAATTTTGTCTTATTTTTATTTTAGAAAAATGATTGAGGTCGTCAATCGTAATAAATTTCACGTGAACGAAGTCGCAGGGAACAGCTAGTCGATAACTAAAGCGACGAATAATTTAGTTATCGCAATATGTTTACCGATCCACTACTAGATGCAGTCTTAGTCAGCAGATGTAATAGGTAAAAGGATTATACTTACCTAGACGATGAAGACAGAAAGAAGTTTCTCTATCAGCATAATTATGTATTTTATTACTATTTGCTTACCGTACTACTTGTGCACCGTATGCGAAATGTATAATTAAGTTTAGTCTGCAACCATCGCTTACTGTTAAGTATACTGTATAAGTACTTCATTATTTACTTAATATATGTAATTTGTGAATTGACTTCGATTATTCATCTCGATGATTGATTGCTGAAGATTAAAAAATTATCTAGGCTTCCGTTTTACAGTATTAAAGCAAATCCATTTTAAAAATAATGAGAATTTTTTGCCCAAAATAAAATAATTATAAAGTATTTAACTTACTCGCACTTTACAAACTTTTTCCTAAATTTTCTTGAAACTTTTCTATAAAAATGCTAGCCCAAAAGCTTGTTCAAAACCGATAGGAGATAGTTTGGATAATTAGCACAGAGATGATATATTACTGAATATCGTTTTGAACATTTGTCTGTTTTCGCAACTTTGGAATTCCTGTTGATTTTATTACTTCAATTATAACCCACTTCTATGGAAGTAAGTGTAACGATAAAAGCTCGCGGACGAGGCCATTCAAAATTCATTGGTATCTTACACCTTGTGAACCAGTTCGTGTACGAAATTTGTGTGTTATTACATTGCCGGTACTTGTCCGATAATTTCGATAATGCGTATTCATTGAGTGGCACGCAAATTGCATAGCTTTGAATATTGACATAATGACTCGAGAATGGTATGCATTATATGTCCAAGTATTTACTTATATACTTTACGAGGTTAATTAATAAATAATAGGTAATATCTGTTGGTTTCCTCAGACAAGCCTGTATCAAAAAAACTTGAAGCCGAAGTATATTATGTGTTATTATATCCTAGCCAATTAAGTGTCGTTGCCTTTGCGGGAGTGTAATGTATGAAATTTTATCTTCTGAATTAGTAATAAGAAAAGGAGCCTACTCTTTTTAAAAGGCCGGCAACATATCTGCAATTCCCTTGCTATTGCAGTTGTACATGGGTGGTAGTCACTTACCATCAGATGAACTGTGTGATCGTTTGCCCCCTATCATATTAAAATAAAAGTAAATCTATTTTTTTATAGGATAGGGTGACAAACGAGCACACAGTTCACCTGATGGTAAGTGGTTGCTGTGGCCCATAGACATCTACATCTATCCTCGATTACGAATCAAAATGCAGATGCGTTGTTACCCGTGAGGACTAAGATGGAATGCCTCGTTTCCAGTAAAAAGGGTCTCCGGTTCTCTACACTCACCATACTAAATACAGCAGCATTAAGCTACTATTTCACGCTGGTATTCTGTGAGAGCGTGGTCCTTCCCCGGTCAAGCCGATCCATTCGTGCTACAACTATACTACTAATATAACTGCAGCATGGCTCTACCACGTATAAATTTTTTTATTGCGAATCGGGAAAATGTGTTGTAATAATTTAACTATCGCCGAGTAGTGAAGGCGTTAAATAATTCACTACTCCATATCATTACGTAGG